TGTATTTATATTTCCAGGAATTTCTCAAATCGACGACAAAACGTAAACAGCCGATAACATAGGTATAATAGCCGAGCGTTCGACCCTCCCAAGATCTCCTCTACCAAGGTTACGTAGTAACATACCTCGTATTCATTTTCTATCTTTCAACGAGGCTACATAACCGAAAATAAGGCGTATTAAACTATTTAATAATTTTATTTCTAACGTTATCGTTTTGATTTTAATAATTTAAAAAGTATTTCACATTGCATAGAATGGTATAAAAACTGGTTTATATTTTATGTTATTCTTTATTGAGTTTGCTGATACAATTACTGTTTTATTTAAACAACTTTAAAGATTTGTAATTAATATTTTTACTAGCATTACATATTTGGTATGTAATTTAGCAAGCAGATATAGTTGCATACTTTGATCAATTTCACAAATATTTAATAACTTGATTACCATTCTATCAAAAATATTTAATGGTTTTAATGTGTGCCCTGCCTTCAGAAATGATTTACAGGAAATATTGTAATATAGTCTTTAGTATGTTTCAGCTTTTCAGACTTTTTATTTAATTTTATTTTATACATCGTCATCCTAAGGGTAGGATACCCATCCTGCAGTCATCAACGAAGACTAAAAGTAAGTATATTTTACTATCAAACATTTCTATTATAATTTCAATTGATTTTTATTACAACAATGATCTTAATTGTTCTTTTTCTTTTTCTGTTTCAGAAAGTCATTGCAATCGAGCGCGTAGGCAATGAGGTTCTCGTGTGTTGCATCGTGTTAAAATAAAATATAAAAAAGTCGACAAGTAGATTCAGTGTTGATCGTCGCATGTTAAAGTTTCGTTTGCTCGGTTAAGAAACTCGCAAGTTTCTTTTATTAAGTTTAAACGTGTGTTCATCGTCATCTTAAGGGTAGGAGACCCATCGTGCATTCATCAATAAAGATTTAAAGTGAGTATATTTTTGTATTAAATAATTCCTCAAAAATTTTAATGATTTTCTGTAATAGTAATGATATTAATAGTATTGTTTTTTATTTCAGTTTCAGATTGCAATAGTGTGCGAAGCAATATGTGCAGTGTTTATGGTGGTATCATCAAACTGCGTACAATGCAGTCTTTGAATTAGTGCAGTTTAGAATCAGTGATCGGGCGAGTAATAAGTTAAAATCAAACGCGAATTAGAGTCAGTGTTGTTCGTCGTATAATAAAATATCGGTTTCGCGATAAGAAACTCATCTATAGTTTCTTATTTTCGTTCATACCGCGTTATT